ACCAATACTTATATATCTATTACGTCAGAAGGTTATAAATATCTCGCTTGGCTATCGTAGAACTGCCCAGGTTATTACTATTAAATTTTTACGGAACTATCCCTTCAATTATTCAACCATATGTTTTCTTGTTCGTCCTTTTACTTCAGATAAAAGAACTGGAGTGCCGCCGTTCTGACAGTCCTCGAAAAACTACAACGGCTATAGAGGGATCGACAAATTCCATCGATCTCATTCCCGTACCCAAGGTGCCGTCATTAGCCATCGGTCAGCTGGCTAAAAAGCCTCGAAGGGAGTTTCCCACACTTGCTCTTGAGAAGCTACCCAACACCGAAGTGTTGGACGATTTTGCCCAAGCTGATCCTCTGGGTATTTTTGCCTGCAAGCACTTCTCGAGGTGGTGCAAACAACGGATCCGCGATACCGAAGTGACAGAAGGCTATGTTGACCATTTACGACAGGTTCTTCCGGCCGTATTTGAGAAAGTAGTGGCGTCACAGGACTCGGATGTCAGCACAGCCCTTCTGCTATTTTTAGCCCACATCCAGCGTGTGGCCCAAACTAGCGTTACGGCTTGCATCGACTGGAGGCAACTGTTATCACAGGCATCAGGAAATGTATCATTACTTTTAGCACTTTCACGTTTCCTTTCAAAAAGTCTTGAAGCTATAGCGCTGTTCCCAACATTGCGTGCAGTGATCAGTGATGAGACTAATTGGCGGCACAGTGACTTTTGTTTGCTTTTGGATGCTATTCTTGAGATGATTCAAGATCGACCAGAGAGTTACGAATCATCGACAGTTGTCAAGCAAGTGCTTAGAGTCTACCGCGAAGTCCTTGATATTAATACGGACCCGGTAAGAGTCGAACGAATACTCGTACGCGCTCTCATGTTGAGCCTTGATGGAGTTCCTATTGAGTCGGAGTTGGTTGCCGTAGTTACTCGAGGAGAGGCATTCCATCATCTCGGTGATGTACTGAAAAAAATCATACGTTGTCAACCAACTTTGTCGTATACTGGTTGTCCAGAGATGATGAACATTGCAAATGAGTGTTTTAGGGACAGCTAATAAGAATATAGTGAAAAAATCTATGATTCCTAGACGCAGTCAAATGTCTTGGGGGACAGTTTACCCATAGATAATATTTTGCTGCGTCACGATAAAGTAAAGTGTAAGAACATTTATCAGATAAATAATTAGTAGGTGCAAATTGCGGCTAAATACTCGGATATTTAGTCTGTGGTAAATATTATATACGTGTTCTATCTAGACGTTTTAATAAGTTGTTCATGTCGAGTTGAGGTCTCTCTCATGCACAAAAGAACAGTGTATTAAAAACATGAACATGTGATTTTTTTTTAAGAACAAAACTTTGCTGCTTTTACTTTCGCTACCGGTGTGGTGTTCTCACCAATTGTGGCCAGCTCAGCACTATCTGCCTCTATAATAAAGCTTATCGTATGACTAATTTAAGAAATTTAGACTAAGAGCTGCTAAAGACAACGAAGCGCTACTGTGTGTTATATGGGCTTACAGGTTTTGTGCAACATTTTGTTGAAAGATTCTTAGCTATTTTTTTTTTTTACTTTCATCGCTAACTGCTTAACGAAAAGCAACTTTCCAATAGACCTACTCGAAACGAGGAGCTCAATACGCTGCAAATATCCTGCAAAATTGTGATAATAAATACATTACATGTATAACAGACAACCGTTATTATATGGACGTTGGTCAACTTCATATCTCTGCTAGAATTACAGATGTTATGGTATACTTATCGTTGATTTTGAACGTAAGAGCGTTTGACCACAACTCAGCAAAGACAAAAAATATCACAGTAACCCGAGGATATCTGCTGTAAACGGTGTCGGTTTACCGTATAGGACTTACAACACAAATTATACTGCGGACAAGTACTTTTTGTATTAAGAAAAAAGAACCTTATGACGTCAATAAAAGCAGGCGCACACTCAATAGCGAAGTTGGCATAAGCTGCCCTTAAAGGTTCGTCACACAACGCACAATTTCGAAAAAAAAAGATGACGGGATTTGAGCATGAGGTAATTCTCAGTTGGTTAACCGTAAACAAAAACTTTCTTTGGGGGAAAGAGCTTTCAAAAAATCTTCATCGAACATATCGTGCTTTTTGTTGTAGGAGTCGTAGGCCCATGTACATGCAGGTTAGTTGATTTGGCTAATTGCAGAGTCTATTACGTGTGTTTGGCATAAAAAAGACTTTAGTTGTGTTATATAAAGTAAATGCGCCATCACAAAAGGCCAACTTCTGAGCAAAATGTTGGATAAATAACATTCTAGTGAAAGAGCTTACTCAATAGAGATCGTGTTTGAAGTAGCGTATCCTATTATTCAAATGAGCTTCAGTATTGACGGAATCTAATATCTTTTCCCTAACACCTTACAACCAATAATAAAACAGATTGAACGCGTTTCTGAACACATAAAGTCTAACAGTTAATCGTAGACCAAGATCTAGATGAACATGCATCACAATTATTTCGAGATTTTATTAGCTTAGTTAGCCACTAGTCAGCATTCATTTTCGGTCATAATAAACTTGCAAAAAATTAATTTTTTTTCGAAATTTCTATAAAATTGTGTGCTTGTGTCAGCAAATTGCAAAATCTCGTGACATTGTTTAGGAACCTAGAAATTCAAAAAGTATTGAATAAAAGAAAAGTCCAATACGCATCTATTTAACTAGTTTTTATGTCTTGCCAATAAATGATTGCAATAAGTTCACAAGTTATATCTCAACTTGCTGCTAGGATTCATCTAATGTTATTGGCACGAATTGCCACGTCCATCGTTGCCTTTCTAGCCATAGGTCCTTGATATAATGCAGTCTCACAGTGCTGTACAGGACCTCTAAGGTTTAGGTTTACCGGAATTAAAGGACGTGATGTTCGTGGTTTCGACATGACTCAAATGTGTTACTATAACTATTGCCAGTTTGCCTGCTGCCTGCTGTAGTGGTTTTCTTTGACTTGAACAAATATAGTATGTAGTCTAGCATCTACTTAGATTTATCTCTTCAACTATTACACGTCAGCTATCTCATTAAACTCAACGCATTTCATACAACATAATAGATATTTTTAAATCTGGTTTAAATCAACACGTACAGACATAGGTAGAATAAGTAAAAGTTTATATGAGAACAAAAAATTTAACGTTAGCGACTTTTAGGTGAGTTACTGAGTTGACAGAGGTGAAACGATTATCTGCTTATGCTGAATGTTTAAGTTACGAAAGTCGCTTATATTGAGGACGCTAACTTGTTAGGTCTTTGAAACGATTGCCAAGAACCGAAGAAAAGGGACATTAAAAACGAGGTAAAAGGAAGTTATCTTTACTGTGTTGAGAGCGGCAAGTGGTGGTTTTATACAACGTATTAACTGTATGATGTCATTTAAATTTACGTAGGGATGTAGCTCTGTGGTTCTGCGTTCGCTCCGTATGCGAAAGGCTCGAAGTTCAATCTCCGTTATCTCCATAATTTTGTAGTAGGATATTGATGGAACTTTTTAAATCCAGTTCAAGCGATTAAGTTGATTAGACCAATTAGAGATAGGACAAGCTAAATATCCAGTCCTGAAATCTTATAACCTTAATAGAACACATCGCTTGTGACTTCTACAAGCCAGCCGAAATAATTGTCGGAAGTCGGAAAATAACTGAATATGACTGTGGCCATTCCATTCTGAAATAATCAGCAGGTTGTATTATAGTTAATTATCGGATGTGAAAGTTATGGACCTGTTTGGACCTTTAAGAGTAACCGTTGCTTAAACTTATTCATCATTATTCGGTTAAACTCTTTGTTTAACCGTCACGTAGTGCTGCTATTGGTCAGTGTTTACATTTGTCAAGCCTGCGGTGATTGTCATGTCTCGTATATTCACTATAAAGCCTAGTACAATGATTGAACACCAGGCGGCGTTTAATCACTGTGAAAACATTATGAAGCACTTGATTTCTAAACGTCTATTCCAAATTCTGGATATGCTGTGCATTTTTTATTTGATGCTTTTCTGCTATCTTGCAACACTATTTTTGATACATTTATGTTGAAACATACACCTACAATCAATGCTTGAACAGATTTTCGTGGCCGACCGCCGACCCAGAAGGCTTCACAATCTCCGGCATATGGCTTCCGACTCCGTAATATTGTTTCATTTCCTGCTGTACTAAGTGATTACAATCGTAAATATTATATCTTTAGGGCCCTAACGGCTGCTGGATAAAGGTGATTCAATCAATGGTGAAGATTTTTTAGTCTTTGACTTTGTCATTATGATTATGTGTCAGATAAAAACGTATTCTAGCAGGGGATAGAGTTTAGTGGAGCGTTCGTTTTGGATGCTTTCACATCTATAGATTCTATGAAAAGTTCATAGGAAAAAGTGGGAAGACAAATCTTGTGGAGCTAATCGTAGATTTTTCTCAGCAGTAGAATGATCGCTGTGCATGTAAAAGAACCTTAGAAGATTAGGTCCTGTTTTATTTCTCTCTATATGTTTCGAGTTTTGTGTCCGGTATCGCCATTAACCATACCATGAGGCGGTCGGCTCACAGCACTAAACGAACTAGACCACAGATTCGAATCGTGTTAGATCTACCTTGCGTCAGACATTTCCGGCATTTGGATCTTTGGTTTGAGTGGTATTATGGGTTATTTGACATGACCAAGCATAAAACGACAAAGATTCAGTACCACATACATAGACGATCATATATAATTCAGATATCCCAGCTTACAGTTTTCCTGTACTAGCATTTTTCTATACTACGATCGGCAAATAGATATCTCTTCACGTAATTCTGGCTGTTTAGCTAGATATTGGTTAAGCTGCCTGTCAAATTTTGTAGTTAGATGTCGTGTATTTGAGCGTCCGCTTGTTTACGAAGATGTCTCGGTCGAGGAAGAACGATAACAGAGCCATTATTTCAGGGCAAATATCTGCTTTGAGGCACTAGCCTTGTTGCCACTCTACGTCAAACTCATGTCAATCATAAATATTCATAGTGGCTATCCCGCTGTTTCAGCCGAAAGAAATAGCTTATGACAGTGTGGCTTTTGACTAGTGTCACAGATCGACTAGATGAATTATCGGATGATCATAAGCTTGGCAGTTACAATTTCTAGAGGTTACTTTTTTGCGATGCAGAAGCGATACGTAGCTCTCATACATTGAACATAAACAGTTAGCTGCAAGACGTCACACTAGTTTTGCTGATGAGCTGGACCTGAATTTAGATTTTAAATTGTTGCGTATAGGTGCTTTTTATATGCACTGACTCATCATTTAACGCCCAAAAATAGAACCTTACCTGTTTCTACAGAGGCTCTATGCCAAGCGATTATAACGAGTCAATAAATGAATCCAGGCTTAATTCAGCTCAACGCATGTTTCTCATTCTCGCATCATAATAATGCTTGGCAAAATCTCGTATCGGTCAGGACGGTAATGGCAACTCTGGCATCAGCCACCATCGACCAACTGCTTCCGCAGTCGCCACTGTTGTTCCGTAGGCCTAAAGCTATGTCATTAAAATGAGTCGTTCTCATCATCGTCGGCTTTTTTCTGCTCATTAGACATCTAACGATCCCCTCCTTTTCGATGGCCGGATCGCCGCCACGCGGTTGTGTTAGCTAAGTCAGGCTGCCAAGAATAGGCGGTTGTACGGTGACTAAAAAGGGCGAATCAGCTCTGATGATCCATTCGCGACGGCCGATGGCGGCAGCGCAATGTCGTCCGAAGCGAGTGGTCTCTGCAGTGTCATAGGGTCTCATTCGTTCTCTCGTTTGTCACGACCCACAAAAACGACGCCGACAATGGCTGCAGCTGAAGTCGCGGCGGGAGCGACACGATGGCAACCTGCGGTTCTTCTGTTTGCCGCTCGACGCTATGTGTCACTGTTAGCCACTTTGGACCCGTAGCTAAAGCCCCCCTCCCGATTTCGGAAGAGGAGAAGCGGGACCCTGTCGCTTTCTTGTTCCATTTAAAAGTCATAAACTCGGCGGCTGCAAACGCGACGACGACAACAGCGGCGGTAGTAGTCGCGCCGCTCGATATAGGCGCCCCTACTGGTGAAGGCAGTGGTGCTGGCAACTGGCAGTAGCTGTGTTAGCAATGTCTACGTCGTTGCGTCCTCTTTTTCGTCGGACAGCCTCCCGATTGTCGGTCGGTTCGCCCCTGGGCGAACTTATCAACTCTTCCTTTCATTTCTTTCTTTCTTTTTTCTCTTCTTCATTCTCGCCGCCTCTTACTTGTCACGGGTTTTATTTTCTCTCGCTATTTCTCCTTCTCTCGCTGCTGCTTTTCTCCCACTCACAGCGACACCCGGCCTAGCCTCCACGTCGTCCCGCGTCGACCGACTAGCGCGGCCGTCACTACTTCTATTGCTAGCACCAGTGCAGCGAAAAGCGTTCTCGCCTCTTCCTTATCGCGCCAGCAACTAATGCTTTCTTAATGGAAACCCTCTTCCCGTTTGCCCACTCCCTCTCCCAGAATTCGTATTCCCAACATCGTTCCCTATTCGAGATCACCCCTTTGGCCACCCGCTTGCCCCAAAGTTCTGCCATTCCCTAGCCAAGCAGGCTTACCGTAGTGGACGCCTTACACCTTTTCTTCTGAGCTGACGAAGGCAACATCGCCAACCGCCACGGCCTACCTCTGGCCCCTAGTTCCCTTGACGAAAATGACGACGGGAGAGAACTACCCGGCTGCTACTGTTCAAAACATGTACGGGAAGCTGAAACCCGTTTGCAAGAGCGGCTACCAGACACGCATCCTTTTAGCTCCAATTTGCACTTCATCAATTCCGCCGGTTGGCGCGCGCTGGAGGGGGTCGGAGCTGAGCTAAGGTGAAAAGTAAAATGCGAAAAAAAGGCGTTAGGGAAAAGTCTGTCCGTTTGACGGTAAAAATGATGCGGGCAAAAGCCACAGCTAGGAGTGGCACAAAAAATATCCTGCCTTATTGCCCTTAGAAAAGAGCATACCCTTCGCTATCATAATTCAAACGATCACAATATTGAAGAACGTCTATCAATTTACTGTTCGACGAACCCGACCGTTTCAATTATATTGCTTTGCTAGAGCAATATGCATTAGTGTACATCTGACTTCTTTGCATCAAGGTACAAAAAGTTTGCGTACAATTTGTCTCAATGCCTCTGGTGTAAATTTTCGAATTTATACGCCCGGTGTCGCCGTTAGACATAGTGTAAGACGGCTACCTCCCATCTTGAAACGAATTGTGTCAATGTCAGGGTTCTACAGCACAGCCTGTCCTTAATGTCGACAGATAGATCCTCGACCCAGTAACCTACTGCGCGAACTGTAGCTAGCTACCAGTTATATTCCATAAGTATATCTTAACCTTTGGAGGGTACTGATACTTGGGGACACCTAAACTTGTCTCAAACGTATGATAAGTATATGTTTAATAATCAGTTTTAAAGTAAGCTACTGTGCCATGATTTGTTGATGAGCGTATATGTAATATACAGTAGACTCTGTTAAAATTGATATACATTTAGTTGGATCATATGTCGTAGCGGGCCTGCGTTCTTCCTTCAGCTGTCATTGGCACTAGAGAAAAGGCAATTTCCTTAAGAATTGGGCCACAAACGTGGCGTTGGCGTAATCAGTATAAGCAAGTAGT